GGTACGGGCGCGACACTGAGGGTTGCAATCCGTTGCCGGTCACGAAAAAAAGACAAAAAGGAAAAAAAAAAAAAAGTAATTTTTATTTGAAAACATAATTGGAAAAGAATCATTGCTAATACTGATGTAGTAGGAGACAGAAAAGCAAGGTAAGGGAAAGGAATTAGAAAAGTAACCATTTCCTTCAGTTAATTCTGTCTTTTTTATTAAAAACAAAAAAAAAAATTTGAAAAACATGATCTATACATGAAGTGCATGATGATGAGAGATTACCTAACTCAATTACAAAGGCAAATGAGTTAAACTGCTCTGTTAATTTTCTTGACCCTCTGAATTTCCTATTAACAAGTCAAAGTTTTTAATCTCATTTTATTTAATCAGTGACCACTCCTATATACTAGTTGTTTCATTTGCTTTACCTCTGATATACATAACTTCAAACATTTTTCTCCAGAAATTTAACCCAAACCTCAAACAGTTCCTCAGTACTTGAATTCCACCAACCCTACTATTCTCTGAGCCATTATCACCCATTAACATCTCACAGGAAGATTAAAAACCAGTTTTTTAACATACGCTTCAGTTACTCATAAATGAATTGTGGCTAAAACAAAAAATGAGCTTTACTGTGCACAGTCTGGAGATCCATAGATATAGCAGTAACTCTAAGCAATCTAAATAAGAAAACTGTGCAATGACAACAACCAAATCCTCATTTCAGGACTGGGTTACGTTAAATTTAGCTAGCAACTACCTTTTCTCCTCTTTTTTTTTTTTTTACTGACCGGTAACGGGATCGCAACCCTCGGTGTCGCGCCCGTACCGGGGACCGGCAATGGCATCGCAACCCTCGGTGTTGCGCCCGCACCGCGCTCAGCCAGTGAGCGGGAACTGGTCTCCACATGGGATCCGAACCCTCGGCGGGAGCGCCGCCACGCTCCCAAGTGGCGCACTCTCCAGTGCGCCACCAGCCGGCCCTTTCCTCTTTTTTTTTAAACATGCTTTAGAGAAAATACATAGTAAATAGCACCACATATTTAGAGTTGTTCAATTTACAAATAAACACTTTTGTTTTTTTGAGGCTGGCTGGTATGGGGATCTGAACACTTGACATAAACACTTTTATATATGCATATCCAACAGGAAAAAAAAAATACAGGATTGAAGAAAATGATCCTGAACATTGGTAATCAGAGGCCTAAACAATATTGCATAGAGATATTGCCAGATATTTAATAGAATACAGGTTTTTGGGGCCGGCCAGGTGGCGCACTGCTGTAGTGCGCCGCTTGGGAAGCACGGAGGCGCTCCCGCCAAGGGTTCGGATCCCACATACAGACCGGTTCCTGCTCACTGGCTGAGCGCGGTGCGGGCGCAACACCGAGGGTTGCGATGCCATTGCCGGTCCCCGGTACGGGCGGGACACCGAGGGTTGCGATGCCGTGGCCGGTCCCGGGCCGGTACGGGCGCAACACTGAGGGTTGCGATCCGTTGCTGGTCACGAAAAAAGACAAAAAGGAAAAAAAAAAAAAAAAAAAAAAAAAAA